GATCTTCACATTGAGCAAATGCGAGAAGGGGAGCTTTTGTCTCCGGCTGGATGCGAAGTGCTCCAAGAACTTGTGGGCCAGGTCGCCCCACTTATCTATCGACCCCTTGGGTAACTTGTGAAACCACTCACAAGCCTGCCCTTCCAGTGTCGCCAGGAAACACCGACACTTGATTTCTTCTGGATATGCGTACATGACCACGTTGGCCCCGAAGCGAACGAGGTGGTCTTGGGGATCGGTCGTCCCATTGTATGCCTTGATCTGGGGAGTCTTGAAATTATCTGGGAGAGGGCAGGACATTATCCTTCTGGAGAAGGGCGTTACCTCACTGAAGACCGCCTGGCGATAGGGGTTCTGGGCATCCAGCCGCTTCTCCAATTGTTCGTACATTTTCCACAGCTCGGCTGCGCCCTTATCCTCGACTGTCGTCCGTCGCTCCTCAGAACCGACCTTGGAGGTCGATGTGGATTCCCCTCTCTTCTCCTTGAGCGTGTCTCTCAAGTCACCTTTTCGGGCCGACCGAGTGTCCTGCAGCCTTTCGAACGCAGAGGTCCGAGGTTTCTTCGACTTGGGATCTCCCAAACGGTCAAAAGCAGACATCCGCTCGAAGGAGGACGACTCGTCCTCTTCTTCCAGCCTGGAAAGCGCATCTGCCATCATAGCCTTCCCATTAGGCCTGGTCGCCTTCTTCTTTTGGGACCGCCTCACTTTTTTCTTTTTTCCTTGGGAGCCCGCAGGTCCAGCCTTCTCGCCTGTGGGTCCCCCAGCCACATCTCCCACCACACCCTCGCGGTTGGGCGCAAGTGCGGCCAGCACCTCCTTGAATTGTTCGGCCGTGATCCCAACCCTCTGAATGAGGGCCTCAGCCTCCCCGGTGGTGATGGGGGGTGCCGGCCTCCGGTGGCGCTGTTCTCCCCCTGTTGGGGAACTCCGGTACCTACGTTGGCGTTGCTACGTGTTTGCACCATCGTCGTTGTGGAGGATTTCTTCTGAGTATGATTCTCGAACTCTCAACGAGAGCACCAATTTGATGGACAATAAATCCACCAAATGATCCGGTTTACAGAGCGGATCGTAAGAACAAAATTAAGAACAAGAATTCGAAAATTGGATGTGTATTACTAGCTTGATTTAGCTTGAGTTCTCCCCTTTCGGGTCCCCTCTATTTATACATGAGCTCTAAACAATTAAGGTGAAGCATAACCGATGGAGTCTAGCCCGCCAAGGGCGCGATCCCCTTTTTCCGGCTCCGTAATGGCCAATCAGCTCCGTCTCCTTCTCCGGACTGACTCTGCCAGCTGCGCTTGGCCTGAGGTTAACTAGGCCCAGCTCCTTGGGCCGGCCCAGCTTGAGTATTTCACAGGTGCTTGACCCGAAGCTGTTTAAATGGTTCATTTGGGCCGTCCGCTGGATATCGGCCCATCACTTGGTAATCGTAAAAATTTAAAACTTTTCAAACACACTTTATTAATCCCAATAATATTTTTCATAACATATACAGTACGGAGTATTCAACATTATTGCGGAAGCGAATTTAATATTGACATATTATAGATCATTTCAAACTTGTCACATCCATCCCGACAATCTCGCCCCATCTACCGCCAGGATCACATTGTTCTTTCGGTTTACCTGCGTGTAGCAAATAAAACACACTACACGCTCAGCGGTAAAGCTGAGTAAGCATATCTAATACGTCGAACATCCATATAAACTGAATCTAAATTCATAATCAAATCATTTGATATCATGCACACAATGTTCATTTCAGACATTCAAAGTTTTGGTATTGTTCAGTT